AAATATTAAAAAATTTTTTCTCTCTCTCTCTCTTTAAAAATAATAATAATATAATAATAAAAAATAATTAAAATATAATAATAATAATAAAAAGGGCTGGGGATGTAGGTCATGGGTAGAGCATCCCTGGGTTTGGTCTATTACTAAAAGCAGACAAACTAAAACCTCTAGGCTTAGTTGGCCCTGCAGCCTTGGGCTCTCCTTCCCCTGGTCCTGTTTCCCAGGGCCCTGCCTATGGCCTGTTCTTTTCATGCCACATATCTTCTGGGAGGCCCCACCTGCATCCATGGCTTCAACCCCCATTTCTACACAGGACTCTCAAATCTGGATTCCACCAGTACCTCTCTCCTGACCTCTGGATCCAAACATCTGGATCCATGCCCACTGGATGTCTCCTAGTAGGAATTAATTAAATAATTCACAGTCTACCAACTCTCCAGCTGAACTCATCTCTCCTTTCCTCCCTAGACTCTGGCCCTTATCAGCCTTCTCTTGAGAAGGAGGCAGGACCAGTCACTTAGTTGTCCAAGCCAAGAACCTCGACATCATCCACAACTCTTCCTTATATTCCAGTCCTACATATAACCAACCCCCAAATCCCGTGAAGGTTCCTCCTTGCTGCTTCTCCCGCTGGCTCATCACCCCTGCCTCGGGCCTGGCTGCTATCACTTGGATTATGCAACAACATCCTCACTGTTCTTGCCACTTCCTGAGTGGCCCTGAAGCCATCTTTAGACTGAGGACAGGCTGATCTTACCACAGCTGAAAACTGCCCCTTTAACAGCTCCATGCAGGCTTCAGGTGAAGTCTGAATTCCTGAATTGACCATGGACGGTGAAACTTTGATTTGAAGCCCACCCACTTGGCTTCACATCCTGCCTCTCCCCACGGGCAAACACTCTCCTACCTTCTGTTCCCTTTGCCTGGCTCATCTTTCCTTCTCTATTTTTATTTTATTTTATTTGTGTGTGTGAGTGTTACTGGGGACTGAACCCAGGGGTGCTTTACCACTGAGCCACATCCCCAGCCCTTTTCACATGTTATTTAGAGACAGGGTCTTGATAAGTTGCTTAGGGCCTTGTTAAATTGCTGAGGCTGGCTTTGAACTAACAGTCCTCCTACCTCAGCCTCCCAAGCTGCTGGGATTATACGCATGCACCACCACATCTGGCCTCCTCTTTATTTTTTATTTTTGAGGCAGGGTTTCACTAAGTTGTCCAGGCTGGCCTGGAACTTGCCATCTCCTGCCTCAGCCCCAGCTGCTGAGGTTACAGATGAGCACCACTGTGCTGCCCGGCTCATCTTTCCCACTGTCTTAATTTTTTTTGGTACCAGGGATTGAACTCAGGGCACTTGGCCACTTAGTCACATCTGCAGCCCTATTCTGTATTTTATTTGGAGACAGGGTCTCACTGGTTTGCTTAGCGCCTCACTATTGCTGAGGCTGGCTTTGAATTTGCAATCTTCCTGCCTCAGCCACCTGAGCCGCTGGGATTACAGGCGTGCGCCCCAGCACCCAGCTTTAATTTTTTAATTATGGATAAATAGATAACATAAAATTATCATTTAGATAACCACAAATTACCATTCAAATCCCATTTTATTTTTTAATCTCCTTACTATAGACATGTGGGACTTTTGATGATTTGATTCATGATTTATTTATTTGTTTATTTTTGGTAAAGGGGCGCTTTACCACTGAGCTATATCTCAAGCATTTTTGTCTTTTATCTTAAGACAGGGTCTCAGTAAGTTGCTAAGGGTCTCACTAAATTGCCCAGACTGGTCTTGAACCTAAGAACTTCCTGCCTCAGACACCTAAGTAGCTGGGATTAAAAGTGTGTACCACAGCACCTGGCTTGACTTGTGATTTTTTTCACTTTATGATGGTGTGAAAATCATAAGCATTCAGAAGAAACTGTAACTTGTTTTTTTGTGGTGCTGGGGAATGGAACCCAGAGCCTGACGCATGCTAGGCCTGTGCTCTACTACTGAGCTACATCCCCGGCCCAGAAAATGTACTTTGAATTTTGATCTTTTTCCAGGCTAGCCATGTGTAGTATGACATTCTCTTGTGACAGTGGGCAGTGGCAGTGGGCTGTAGCCCCCAGTCAGCCCAGTGACCACAGGGTTACCATATAAAGTAGGCTTTGTGTTAGAGGACTTTGTCTGACTATAGGCTAATTATAAGTGGTCCAGCTAAGATAGTCAGCAGGTTAGGTATATTAAATGCCTCTTGACTTATGGTATTTTCAACTTACCATTGTAAATTGAAAATTACATAACCCCATCATAAGCTGAGGAGTATGTGTACTTGTCCTTCAAATTAAGCTGAAGTGCAACCTCTTCAGAGAAACTTTTTGAGTACTCAGCATGGGTTGGATGTCCTTCTTCTGGGCTACCAATATCAGAGCCCTTATCACATTACACTCTATGTCAGCTTATGTTGCTTCTTGCAGATTCCCTTTGATAGCATCTGTCTTATTTAACTTTGTATTCCCAAGGCTGCTGTATACAGTTGTACAGGTTTTGCACTGCACTGGAATAATTAATCGACTGAAGAAGTCATTAGGGCATGAAGATCATCAGTCCATTGCATACTTGGTATAATGAGACTCACAGCCATTAAGTGACTTGTTCAAGGACGCACAGAAAGTGAGTGGCAGAGGCTGGGCTTGAACTCACTTTCCCGCCTCTAGCTCAGTGCTCATCTCTTCATACTCTATTCTAGGGAGGCCTCTCAGAACTCAGTTCGGACCCTATGAGCTCCAAGCTGCATCTTCCCAGCCTTGGGGACCCCCTCTCTTCCTGACTTAGGTTCCTGGCTACAGCAAGTGGAAGGATGACAGCAGGCAGACTGGCGTGAGGCCAGCTAGAAGACCACGGTGGCCCGCGGCCTCTTTGCTGGTGCACCCCGCTGAGCTGTCTTCACTCCCCTTCACCCGCTTGGAGTGATGCCAGTGGCCATTGGCTTTCTCCTCCACCCTAGCTCTGAAGGCTGTTTTCATTTAGAGCCATTTCCCTCCTTGCCATCCCTGGGATCAGCTGGCTCCTTCAGACTCAGTCACGCCTCCTTCTGGTCCTAGCTGGAGGAGCCTTGCCAATGCAGGTCTTAATGAGTATGTGTGTGAAGTGCCACGAGTCTCCATTGCAGGTGGGGAGTGATCTAACCCTACAGATCTCCCTGAGGTCTGCCTCCTGAGAGAATGCTTTTTTGCACCACGGGACCCCCAAGACTCCTGGTTGCTCTTTCACAAGGCAAATTCATTTTATGATCATCTATGATCTGGCTGCATCTCCTGCTCACTTGTAAGCCCCTTGCCCAGCTTCCTGAGTTCACTTCTCTCAGCTCATTTCTGGACTTTGCATAATTTTTTTTTTTCAGTGCTGGGGGACGGAATCCAAGGTCTTGCACATGCTAGGCAAATGCTGTACCACTGAGCTACACCTCCAGCTTCAAATAGATTATTATTACTATTATTATTTATCATTCTGTTTTCATCTTACTGTGACTCTGAAGAGCCATTTCCCTCACTTATTAGGCAGACTGCAGCTCCCAAGTTATGGGAGCTCTGTCCTTTGGCATGTATGATTAATGAAAATGATAACATTATCCTTAAAGATGTACTGAACATGTACTCTGATCCAGATGTTGTGCTTGCTGCTTTATCAAACTCAGCTTACTCTGTCTTCACAACAGTCTCATGAGGGAAAGCCCCATTTTTCAGGTGAGGAAACGGAGACACAAGATCAAATGACTTGCCCAAAGTCACCTAGCTGAGATTTGTACACAGGCAGTGACTCTGGAGCTTATGCTTACATGGGGACATGCAGCCCGGTCGAAAACTCAGCTCTTCCGGGACTGGAGACCTGCTCTGCCTGCATGCTGGCCAGAGCTCACAGGCTGTTACTCTCAGGCTGGGTCTTCCCTGATCCGCTGCATCCTCCCACAGGACAGGCCGCAGAGCCAACAAGGCACAGAAAGCAAAGCCAGTCGGTGAGGCCGGGTGAGGTGGCAGATGACTCCCTCCTCCACAGCCACATCTAACCTCTCCAGGCTATCACAAGAGGCTCCTTCATCGATCTGGCATAATTAGCTCTTTTACTAAGTCATCACAATTTTTAGCGTACAGCGACAGATCCATTGATGGATGATTTTATTCCACAGCGTTCCTAGGTATGAAGTGTAATTAACTATCATTAATTAAAGGAACACTGTTTCTCTTTAAAGATGTAAATTAGACAGACTCCAGGCTGCCCCTTCTTTGCCATCATGAGGCCTGAAGGCTGAGGCTGGCGGGGGCTGTAATAAGCCAGGCCTGAGCGCTCTCCACACTGGCTCTGAGACTCCCCTCCTCCTCCTTTTCAGTTTGGTTTCCTATCTGTCCATTTCACAGGGAAGCAGAACTTTTTGGTAAAGACTGGGATGAATAACTGAATGGAAAGCCTCTTCCGATTTTTCTCAGTTACCTGTAACTGGTGCTCTCCCTCCTCATCGATGGGTTGGCCTTCTCTTTGGCTTTGTGCTCTTCTTCCCGTAGGCAGCCCCCAGATACCTGCTACTCCCCAGGAGCTTGGGAGCGGGGGCTCTGCATGAAGCCTGCCTCTGGGGCTGGGGCAGGATCGGGGCCTCTCCCCAGGATGGGCAGACTGCCTGTGCTTTTGATTTGCTCATACCAGTGCTTCTCTTCACTGGGGTGGAAAATTGAGAGGTAACCATATAACTGAGGAATATTTCCCTGTTACCCTTTGCTTAGACACAACTTGGCTAAGCTTTCATGAGAAGAAAAATTCCCCCGTCAGGCACGGGCACTTTTAAGGTTCCCCATTCCCTTTGGAATTTAGGCTTCTCATGCCATTATTCTGGGTTCCCTCCTCAGTCCCCCAGATTCCTTCGACATGAGGCAGGAACAAAGCCAGAGAGTAAACACTGTTTCCCATGGTGACAGGGACAGGCAGTGAGGGCAGACAGCTGCTGGCTGCCAGTACCCGACACTCACCATGGTTTATCCCTTGATCCTTTTGCAGAAAAGACTGTGTGCTGTCTGCTGCTGGAGGTAAGTAGATTGTCTTTGGGCGTTTTGAATGGCTTTGAGGTGCTGCTGGCAGAGTTATGGCCGCTGAGACAGGCTTTCGTTTTCACCTGCGCTAGTGATGTCCTGGGGTTGGAGGCTGGAGACGCTGGAGAGGAAGAAGGTCTACACATTGAACCGTGTCTTCTCTCTACAGGGGGAGAAAGGACAGAACTCAGCACAGCATCTCCCATGCTGGTCTCCTGTGCTCGCACACACTCCTGTGGAGCTTTCCTGGTGGGATCCGCAGCCCCTAAGCTTAGTTCTGACGACAGCTCACCCTGACGTTGGCTCCTACCCCACCCACTATATCAAGGAGTACATTCTGGAATTCTGTATTAAATGGCATGTGCTAAGTGGACCCCGAGGTTCTCTTGGGAGCCATTACCATCCTCCTGTCAAACACTTCCATAGGAGTAGCAGTGTGATGGCTGTATTACCCGACACAGGGGGACAATCAATAGCCTATGCGATCCCCAGACAGCCTTCTTAGAGGTCACAGGTCGCCCAGGGCAGTAGGTAGGGAAAGACTTTCAGAAAAAACGGGAGATTCTCCAACCTGACCTTCTGTAGGACATGAAAGTCACAGAGCCCTGCAGGACTGAATGAAAGGTCTTTGAGAGCCAGAAAGCGGCCCAGCATCTGTCCCTTCCTGGGACGCATGGACAGTCTGTTGACATACCCTAGTGGTGGCCTCTTTAGGGTCAACTGAAGTTCAAGGACACAAATCGCTGGAGAATGTTAACACTTGAGGCAGAATCTACAGATGTGGACTGCTGCCTGAGATTCTGTAGGAAATAGGAGAGTTCTGGGCAGAGATGCCCCAGTTATTCATGCTCTGCCAGCCCTGCCAACCCAACTCAGTAGGCAGGATGAAGACACTGACCTGGACAGCAGGTGTAGGAAATCAAGTTCTAGTGTGCACCCACTATGGTGGTCCTTAGCTGTTTTAGGGTTACAGATTTGAGAAAGTTAAGGACCTCAGAAAAATGCACACTTACACATAAGAATCCCAAACTCTAAAATGACAATGGTCCTGAAACTCTAAGTCCTCTCTGACTCTCTTGTGCCTCATATAAAATTAGTGCTCCATGAATATGTGGGGGTTTTGTTTGTTTGTTTTGGATACTGGGGATTGAACCCAGGGGTGCTTTACCACTACCTATACCCCCATCCCTTTTCATTTTTTTATTTTGAGATGAGTCTTGCTAAGTTGCTCAGGGCCTCACTGAGTTGCTGAGGCTGGCCTCTAATTTGGGATCCTTCTGCCTCAGCCTCCAGTCATTGAGATTAGAGGAGTGTGTACACCAGTATGCCTGGCTCAATGAGTATGTGTTGATTGAAGAAATGAAATTATAATGGATGTTCTGATGGGAAGAACCAGAGATAACAAATCTGTAAATCTGGATTGAATGTGATAAGGAGAAAGGTGAGAAGCAAAGATTGAGGATCACATTCTCCCTCCAGCCCAGAGCTCCTCAGGCTTTTCACCTTGGCAAGATATTTCTAGTTGTGCTTCCAGACACCTAACCTGGGGGACAAAACCTAACCACTGTGGTCTGTAGGGGAGGGGAGTTGGAGTTTCTCTGTGCTCTTTCTTACCAATTGTCTGCCAGGCTTTCTCAAAGCACAGATTGATTCTAATCTTCTGATGAAATTGTAATTGGCAGTTGTGGAGGTAGCTTTTCGAAGATCATCTAATGGTTTGATATTTGTGCCTGGTCAGTGTTCACACAATGTCTACATAGAATAACTGTATGGGGTAAATTTTTCTCTACTGATATTAATAGACTTTGCATGCATGTTTAATTCCCAGAAGTCATCCCAATGAAGGTCCTAAGGCCTCTATTTTGATGCTGTAGAGATCAAGGCCCCAGCTCCAGTCACCCATAGAGTAGCCTTATGGCCTTGAGTTCACCATGCAAGCTTTCTTGGTTTCTTTCTTGGTTTCCATAGCTCAATTATAAACAAAGTGGGTCCCTCAGTGGCTTCTAAGGTCTCTTTCCATTCTATTACCATAAATATAAGACATGCTTATACCTGCTCCTTCTCTGCTCATCCTCATAACTCCTGGATGTTGTAGCAACAGCACAGGTATGGAGATATTTTACTTGGGCAGTATCTTTCTTGGGAGAATTCATCCTTTGTAAAATTAGTAGCCTTTACAACCCCTTGTAAGACAGGCAGGAAGCAGCCCCCTGCATCTCCACCCTCCTCACAGTTTATTGTCCAAAGGAGACCCAGAGAGGCCAGATGATTGCCAAGGTCAGGGCCAATGGCTACTTGAGGAATGGGACCTTGGGCATAGGCCCAGCTGCCTCTCAGGAAGTCAGGAAATGTTGGTGTACTATGAACAATATTTGAAGCCAGGAAATTAGGAAATGAGGAACTTAAAATCACTAAAGGTTAGAACTGGGTCTTAAAAGTCCACTAGTCTAATCTCCTTCCCCATAGAGGAGACTGTTATTAGTTGCCAGCCCCCAGGGCAAAGCTGGCTGGTGGCAATGCTGGGATTAGAATCAGGTCTCCTTACTTTTAAATACTTAAGTACTTTTTGCCCTTCAGAAATTTCATGTTAAGCTTTTTATTTTTATTTTTTATTAATGGTAGAGGTTTCGATTCCAAAATAAAACTTTGATTTTTACCTTACTGCTGAAGATGATTCTATAGTCTTCATTCACTGACTTGCTAGCACTTGCTCAAAGTGTGGGGGGGTAGGGGTATACAAAAATATTACTCAGTAGCCTGAATAACAAAGATAAACTTTAGTTTGCGAAACTAAGGGTTAAAAAGTATACAAGTAAAGCTGGGTACAGTGGCACACACCTGTATCCCAGCACTTGGGAGGCTGAGGTTGGAAGATCATTTGAGCTTAGGAGTTTGAGACCTTCTTGGAGAACACAGTGAGACCCTGTTTGGAAAAAAAAATGCACGTATGCACAAACATAAACAAACTAAACTACAGAAAGAGTCCCATTAAGGACAAAATGAGTGGTCTAAAACCACTTTCCCAGAGAATTCTGGTTTGTGGTCCTGGTTGACATCTTCCACTGCTAAACTCATAGAAAAAAATTAAATCAATGATGAACCTTCATTTTTGGTTTCATATTTTAATCTCATAAAACATTAAATTTCCAAAGGAAAGAACAAGTTGCATATGAGAGAATAATCACTGAAGCCTGAAGACAGTCCTTTGCCCTTAATGTAAGTTTTTTGATTGCATAATGTGCCATTTCATATTGCAGTACATAGTATTGTATTTCCTACTTGTGAAACTGCTCCTTGTTTAGAATGAATTAAATCTATCTATTTTAAGAAATCCCACAAAGAGGTCGGTATTTCTGTCCCCAGAATGGCGGGAACAAGTTTGCCTCCTACTGATGCAGGTGAGAAAAGCTACATAAGGATTGAAAATGGTGGAACCCACAAGGTCAGAATGTTGGGACTTCATCCAGGTGATGAGCTGCAACTCAGCTTTTTAAAAAATCCAGTACTTTGAACTCAGGGCCTCCTGCATGCTACACAAGAACTCTACCACTTCACTACATCCCCAGCCAGTTTTAAAAAATCTTATTTTGAGACAAGGTCTTGCCAAATGTCTGAGGCTGGTCTCAAACTTGCAATCCTCCCATCTCGGCCTCCTGAGTTGTTGGGATTATAAGTGTGCACCACCATGCCCAGTGCAGCTCAGCTTTTGAAAATGGGTAGAACTGAATGGAGTGCGGTGGCACATGCCTGTAATCCCAGTAGCTCAGGAGACTGAGGCAGGAGCATCATGAGTTCAAAGCCAGCCTCAGCAAAAGCAAGGAGCTAAGCAACTCTGTGAAGACCTGCCTGTAAATGACTTAAGCACAGTTTTGTTTTTGGTAGAGAGGTGGATGGGCAACCAATGGGAGAAAGTGGGGTCTTTATTTCTTGTAAAAGGATATTGCTATGCAGGTGGAATTTCTCTGGGTAAAGATTTGCAGGTTTATATTACAATCATTCTGATACAGGTCCTCACCATGTTGGGCTTAATCATTTCTTTCTGTTTTGGTCAAGAGAATGCCTTAGGGAGAACCCTATGATTTTTCTAATTCCTCTTGCTCTGCCCAGGAAGCATTTATAGGACATTATTTTCCTCACTTACTGTAAAAACTATTGTATAGACTTAAGTAATTTTAGAGAAAGAAAGCACTTCCCTCTAAAATTTCTCAATCTTTGTTAATGTCCATGGTTGTACTAACAAAACTGTAATCAATTGATATTTTGGACTATTCTTTGTCAACTAAAATTATTCTATTTACACATCTAATTCCCACATGCTTGCCATTTTAAATAGGTAATAGTCATTAACATGCTGTAGATTATTGAGCTACTCTCTTACTGTCTGGCACTTAAACACTAATTTATTTATAATGTGATTTAGGATTATTTCCTTGAGGTAAGGTATAGCTCCCAATGTGAGAGCTGGAAATAGCTCATAGCTCTTGCTACACATTTCATTCCAGACCATGAAATAGAAAAACCAAACCAAGAAATTGTGTTATACTGAATATAAGCACCACTCACCTACTGAAGAGAAAACAAAATCACTTTTGGAACACCTGTGCAGTCTTAAGTGTCCAATATATCAATTAACAACCTTGGTGAATGATCTTGGACCGGCAAGCTCTAGTCCCACCCCTTCTTTCCGTTCGCTAATAGTAATAATAATTTACTGAAAGTGTTTTCCATGTGCTAGGCACTCTATCCCACACTTGATTCACTTGCTAGCACTTAAGCCTTACAACTCCTTAAAAGAGGTTCTTTGACTATGTCTACTCTACAGACCAAACTAAGGCTCAGAGATACAATGAGTTGCCCAGAGATACAATGAGTTGCACAGAGCTGGAAAACATCAGATCTGGGGATGTCTTCAGAGCCTGTGTCTTAGCTCTGAGCTCTGCTACTTTGAAATTTTGGAAGATGGTGCTGTAGACAGGGAGGGCCTGGAAGGGCCACCAGGGAACCCCTCCCTCCCCACTGCCTGAGGGCATTCCAGCAGGGCACCACTCTAGCAGGGAGAGGGAAGGAATACCTTTCAGATATTTAAGCAGTTTTTTAGGTGCCAGTCTGTAGCCTCATGCCACTATCTGAGACCTGAATCCCAGAGCTGGGGGTCCCAGGACC